GTTTTTATCTTGTGTTTTTTTTGGGGGGGGGCTTAGAATGTTAGAGCTTGTCATTTTTTAGTTACGCCCAGTTCGCTCTAGATCTCGTAACACCCCATTCGGAGCGATTCCCAGTATGAATATTTACAAAAATATTAAATATGAAACCTTGATGTGCAATGAAAGTGGAAAAATTGGACCTTACAAACTGTCGCTTGAAGCAAATATTTGTGTAGAGAAAAATACATTTTGCATAATAGCATTCTAGATACGCAGGGGGGCGAACTCTTCATTTACATGCAATGATAAATTTCCAATACATGTAGAATTCTTGACCAGGGACAGAAAAGAGTTTTAATTTAGCTTGTTTGAAACCGGTTAAAGGCAACAGTTTCCATCTTTAAACGAAGACTTCGAATTTAATATCCTTGCGTTAGCATTTTAATTTCGGAAAGTATTTTAGTCCACGAAAGGAAAGACGGGTGACGTTTTCCGAGTTTCCCTGACAAAAAAACTAAAAAAGAACAGGTACACATTCAGACCGAAGCTCGAAAAGATCGGTTATCAAAAACGAAGCAGACAAACTTAATTTATGTTGCACAAAGAGCGTTTTTAATGCTCGCTCAACTGAAAAAAAATTGTGCACACACTGAGGTATCTTTAAATGAAAGCAACTTCTGACTGAAATAGGTCCCTGTTGTTGCTAGTTTCGTTTCACCAAGACGCATATTTTGAATAAGTTTGATAGACATTTCATCTGGTTTAATTTAAGAACATATTTTTACAGAGCCACTCCCCCAAAGTATGTTTTTGGGTGTGCCAAAGCCCTTTCCATCTCGACATGGTCCAGTAACTGATGTTCGGGGAGTGGGGTGCAGGGTTCACGGTGAGTGGGGTGGGGGGAGAGAGGAGGGGGAGTGGTAGGGATGCGTAGCGTGCCAGCAACTTTGCATAAAGCTCGGTGAATGCTAAGTGGAGCGTGGTACAGTTATCGTTGCTTATTAATAACTATAATAATAATTATAATAATACATGTATTTATGTAGCGCTCATTTCTTAAGCTCAATGGCGCTTTAAGATAAAGTGATATAAATTTCGGGCGTATTACACTGTTACATGTAAGGTCGCTGGTTTTTACTAGCGCGCAAGCACAATTGAAACGAATATGTACCTTACTGTATTTTTTCAACCGTGGTTAAATAAACGAATTTCCGAACCCGCAGCAAAATAATGGCAACTCTTGATCAACAATTTTCAGTTGGCAGGCTGGCTATGAGACTAGTACTAATGGGAAGAATGGTTGATCAAATTAATTCTCCGTCCTTACTTGTCAGGGGAACAATAAACCTTTTCACGGTTTCTGACGCCATCTTGCTTAGGGGGCAAACGTATAAACACAGCAGAAATTGCAGGAAATGTATGAGAAAAGTTCGATGCCTGACAAGTTGAATGTCATTGACTTTCTGCGTATTTTATGACTTACGAGGAAAAGATACCCAACAGAAGCCTGCTTTTGGATCAAATTTGAAGAACAGAGATTTGCAGTGAGGCGAGGAATTGCACTTTTCATTTTTCATACAAATGTCTCTAAATTTTCCCGCGAATATTGCGGCTCGGTTTTATAGACAATTCAAATGTATAGGAAAATGAAAACGTTAATTGTGAATTTTCTAGCTAGGCTTTTTCCCTCAAATGCGATCAATTAATTCTTTTCCCTAGTATCTTCAGTTTTTAATTCATAAATACCTCAGAACTCGAATTTTTCGTGAGTTGGTGGACATTAGACTCTCCATTTTCTCCATGTATTGCCGTGTTTGACCTCCAAATAAGATGGCGTCAGAAACCGTGAAAAGGCCTCACAGGTCAAGGCAGTTTGGTTTGGTTTCGTAACAAGAGTTCTTAACTTTTGTAAGATCTTTTCTGACATGTATTTCGTATTAAGTATTAAAGCAAGTTGATTTATTTTATCAATCGCGTAATTATGGTCAGTTACCAAGCAATATTCCATCTTTGATCAAAGTAAAATTTCTCTTGAAACTATCAATACAAACCTATGACGGCAAGTTTGAGAAAGAACGAACTGATCAGCAAGGAAAACTATTTTGCGATTTTTTACATCAAATTCTCCCAAGTGGTACTATTTAATAAAATAGGGAGATCAGACTTTATCTAACTTGAGGAGAATTTGCGTCACTGAATTTACCTGACTGAGAAATAAATGAAGTTTTCATCTTGTAACCAGTTTAGTAAATGCTTAATCCAGATGATAATTAAAGGTGTACAGAGATGATATACCTTAAGTTTGTACTGAGATATTTTTTTATCTAATAATTTCCTTTTCTGAAAACCAAATTTTTCATTGTATTTCATTGCTCGCACTCAAGGGACTGAACTAAGCTGTTAAACTAGGTTCCTAAAGTAGAAATACCATGGGATAGTCGCACTAACGTTTTTTGGTACTTCTTCTACTCTATAGAGTGTAGTTTGGTAATAAAACATCATGACAATTTCAGTAAAATGGGGTGCATTTGTGGTTTGGGTTGGTTCCAAACATTTCCAACTCCCTACATGACCATCCTCTTTTCCCACCCCAAATCCATGACACCAAGGCCACTTAATCCAAGTAGCCCGGATATGAAGTGATTTTTGGTTATGTTTTAGGTCACCTCAAAAGTTATGACCCACTGTACAAAAGAAATGGATTGCATTCTCCAATAGTGAGGAATCTCTATCAACGTCATTATAGCCCAATTGGAGCCAGGACTCTGTCACAGATCGAATATGAGCTACAACAAATTGAGAACAGGATGGATGAAGAAGAGGAAGAAGAAAGCACTGGGGGATCTGCAGCAGTGGAAGAGGAAGAAGGAGAGGAGGAAGAAGGAGAGAAGGAGGAGGAAGAGGAGGAAGAGGCAGGAGAAGAGGAAGAAGAAGAGGAGGAAGAGGAAGGAGAGAAAGAGGAAGAAGAAGAGGAAAATGAAGGAGAGGAGGAGGAAGAAGAGGAGGAAAAAGAAGGAGAAAAGGAAGAGGAAGAGGAAGAAGAAGAAGGTGAGGAGGAGGAAGAAGAAGAGGAAAAAGAAGGAGAGGAGGAGGAAGAAGAAGAGGAAAAAGAAGGCGAGGAGGAAGAAGAAGAAGAAGAGAAAGAAGGTGAGGAGGAGGAAGAGTGGGAACAAGAAAAAGGTGAAGAAGAGGAAGAAGAGGAAGAGGAACAAGGTGAAGAAGAAGAAGAGGAAGAAGAAGAGGAAGGAGAGGAGGAAGAGAAAGAAGAAGAGATGGAAGGCGAGGAGGTGGAAGAAGAGGAAGAAGAAACAGGAGAAGAGGAGGAGGAAGAGGAAGAGGAAGCTGGTGAAGAGGAAGAGGAGGAAGAAGAAGAAGCTGGTGAAGAAGAAGAAGAGGAGGAGGAAAATGAGGGTGAAAAAGTAGAGGAGCAAGAGGAAGAGGAGGGTGAAAAAGAAGAGGAGGAAGAGGAAGAGGAAGGCGAGAAGGCAGAAGAAGAGGAAGAAGAAATGGGAGAATGGATGGAGGAAGAAGAAGAAGAAAAGGGAGAAAAAAATGAGGAAGAGGAGGAGGAGGAGGGTGAAAAAGAAGAAGAAGCCGAAATTGAAGAGGGAGACAAAGAGGAAGAGGAGGAAATAGAACAAGGCAAAAAAGAAGAAGAGGAAGAAATAGAGGAAGGCAAGAAAATAGAAGAAGAGGAGATTGAGCAAGGTGAAAAGGAAGAGGAAAAGGAAATAGAAGAAGGCAAAACTGAAGAAGAGGAGGAGATTGAAGAAGGTGAAGAGGAAGAAGAAGAGAAAATTGAGGAGGGTGAAAAAGAGGAGGAAAAAGAAGAAGAGGAAGGTGAAAAGGAAGAGGAGGAGGAAGCTGAGACAGGTGAATACGAAGAAGAGGAAGAAGAAGAAGAAGGTGAAAAAGAGGCAGAAGAGGAAGAGGAACAGGGAGAGAAGGAAGAGGAGAAGGAGGAAGAAGAAGGAAAAGAGGAAGAGGAGGAGGAAGAAGAGAAGGGTGAGGAACAGGAGGAAGAGGAGGAAGAGGCCGGTGAAAAGGAGGAGGAAGAGGAGGAGGAAGAGGGTGAGAAAGAAGAGGAGGAGGAAGAAAAAGAAGGTGAGGAGGAAGAAGAAGAGGAGGAAAAGGAGGGTGAGGAGGAAGAAGAGGAGGAGGAAGAGGAAGGTGAGAAAGAAGAAAAGGAGGAGGAAGAAGAGGGTGAGAAAGAGGAGGAAGAGGAAGAAGAGGAGGGAGAGGGAGTAGAAAAAGAGGAGGAGGAGGGAGGTGAGAAAGAAGAAGAGGAGGAAGAAGAGGAGGGAGAAGAAGAACAGGAGGAGGAGGAAGAAGAAGGTGAAAAGGAGGAAGAAGAGGAGGAAAAGGAAGGTGAAGAGGAGGAAGAAGAAGAGGAAGAGGAAGGTGAAAAAGAGGAAGAAGAAGAAGAAGAGGAAGGTGAGAAAGAGGAAGAAGAGGAGGAGGAGGAAGGTGAAAAGGAGGAAGAAGAAGAGGAAGAGTCAGGTGAAGAGGAGGAGGAAGAAGAAGAGGAAGAAGCAAAACGCTCATACAAAGGAGACAAACAAGGACTTACAAAAGAAAGACGTACTAACCTACTGAAACTTCTAAAAAAGATGAAACTGGAGTTGGACAGTGCTTAAAATATACAAAGGTTTGGGCAATACCAATCACGATGACTCTGTGATCATTTTAGGGGATAGAGGAATACAAAAAACAAACTTGCCAAGACCTGTGTCACTGACATTAAATCACACACAATCTCAAGGAAAATTGGCATGCCATCAAGAGGTCACTTAAGGTGGCTCAAAACAGTTTCCAGCACTTAGATTTTGATTAGTCATTATAACCACTCTTTATCACTTGATGCTACAATCACGGTATCAAAACACTGCCCAATCATTGGTGAACATGTTGTTATCATTTTTGTGACACAATAGGTTACTCTAGCAAAAGTATGACCTGCTAAAACACCCTTAATTACAGCTATAAGGGCTTATAATTCAAAGCGGCATGGTGAATATTTTTAATATTATCAAATTTTGATAAGCATGATGAGATGCAACTTTTGGCAAAGTTTCAAAACATTCTGTACATAGGGTTCAGAGCCACCTTAAAATTTCAAAACTTTAAGGTGGCTCTGAACCCTATGTACAGAATTTTTTAAAACTTTGCCAAAAGTTGCATCTTATCATGCTTATCAAAATTTGGTAATAATAAAAAATTTAACCATGCCAGTTTTGAATTATAAGCCCCTAAAGCTATAATTAAGGGTGTCTTTAGCAGATAATACTAATGCTATGATAGCCTATTATGTCACGAAAATAATAACAACCTGTTCACGAATAAATGGGCATTTTTTTGATACCATGATTGAAGCATCAAGTGATAAAGAATGGTTATAATGACCAATCAAAGTCTAAGTGCTGGAAACTGTTTTGACCCACCTTAAAGCAAAGCACTTGCAAATATTAACTTCAATTTTTATGTGAAAAGCAACAAAAAAATGCAATCTTGTAAAAAGGATCTTTCTATTTCATTCAAAAAGAGCTCTGTCACAAGACAGTTCATCCTAAAACACATGCCCGTAATGT